GATAAGTAATAAAAAGTGATTAAAAAGAGTAATTTTATTCAAATACTGTTTTTGCTTGATGCTGTGCTATGTCTTGATGACGGGTGAGATGAATGAATCCTTGTTCAGCTGACATTTCTGCATCCTGAATTCTGCTATATGGTGGAAAACCTTAACAGCTTAATAACAGCAAATGCAAGCAAAGGTCAAAAGGTCAGCAAAATCAATATTGTCTTCATGTTGGCAGGACAGTTTTAACACAGCACAAATCAAATTTCATCGCATCTTGGTGGCTGAAGAGGACCAGGTTCAAGTCTGACAGACGTAATCAGGCAGGAGGAGACAGAGGGATTGTCAGTAATGAAGAACAGCGTTATAGAAAAGGCTGTGGAGAAAGGCAAAGTCACTGTGAGTCAGAAATCAATGCTTCCATTTAGGAGTTCAAACGTGAGCCGAGCATTTTGTTGCAGTGTAAGTAGACAAAAGGCCACAGGGGTCGATGGATTTAAAAATCAATAGGCGTCTTAAATGTGCACAGCAAAGATGCTGCATCATTTTGAATCTGAAAGCATCACTATTATACCAGAATAACACTATGAGAAACATGATGTAGAGGAGAACCCTTCTGATATAATCTAGATTTCCCATTGACAGGAAATCTTTAAAATCAACCACTGATGTTCAAACAACAGTAAAAAATAAAACCAGTGAGTGAACGAGTGCTGTAGTTTATTTGAAGTCAGTCCAGATACACCGCCTTGCTGCCCCACATTCATTTTTTATTAATAATTTAATTATCTTATTGTTATCATCAAAGCAGCAAATGTGGATCAATCCTCCCATCACTGTAAATAGTCCCCAACATAGGCCCTATTTCTTTATATTTGGTTAACATTTACTAAAATCTGTAAATGAAACTCTTCATCTTGAGGTGCTTTCAAGGACTTCCACCCAGAGTAAGGAAGAATTAAGAGACTAACACATTGTTGGCTTTCTACGACATCCAAAGACAAGGCCTTGGCTTTAAACTAATGAAAGCCTAATGTTTTCAAAAAATTAGATGTGCAAGAATTTTGCTAAGTCTAAAACTGTCTTCAGTTAGAATGCAAAACTAAGAATATGTACACAACATTGTAGATCTGCAAAGACATTCAGCACCAGTTTTTTAGTGCTTCTTTGCTTGTCAAATGCTGTTTCATGGTGTGTAATTGTTGCTCAGGGATAACAGATCTACATTAGCTGTTAGCAAAATCTGGTGCAGTTTATTTAAATTCTGCACTGACCATGTCAGAATAATAAAGGAAAATAGCTTTTAAAAAGAAATTCTGTGTGCTACGGACACATTGTCACCAAAAAAAAAAGACAAAACCCACCGAGGTTTGATCCCCAGCCCGAGTTACATCACAGAATCCAACTGGTGCCAAAGAGATTACACGGCAGGATTAGTTCAAACTCAGTTTAATCCTGGAAATAGTCACAGCTGAGGTGAGATAATCCAGAAATAATCCATTTGATGTAATCCCAGAATTATCAGCATCGTCATCAACAACCTCAAAAATCCGATGAAGATGGGACATCATTTAGAGCCAAGTCACAACTGTGAGCCATGAATGTTTATATTGCTGTAACTGCAAACTTTATTTGTTCATTTAATATTGTCCTGCAAACTAAAAGCTACCTGCACTCTGTTTAGTCTTGCTGAAAAGCAGAAACTGTGACCACAGGATAGCAGATTAGTGGTGAAATGCAGGGTGAGGGTGGAGTTGTGCTGGCAGAGGAAAAATTTGTACGACCTGCTATCTGCAAAAATGTTCATAACTGTTTCAAACAGCCACATCCTGAGGCAGGATGAACAGCCAGCAGTCACAGGGGGAGCTTATAGCGCAGACTTTCAAACTGAATGTTGGATTGACAACTTGGGATGATTACAGAAACTGCTGTATGTTGCAACTCATTAACTGAAAAGATGTTAATTAGCTCTAGTAGAAGAGTGATAAAGTCAGCTAACTGGCTGAATAATGTCAGTAAAATGACATCCCTACACACTTAAACTGCATTTTCATTTATGTTTTGCTGTGACGTGCACAGCAGGTCAACATTAAGGTGTTCTGTCATGCAGGACTTCCACCCCGTAGACCAGGCTTCATGTCCCATGTGGGAGTGTTATTCTCTACAGACGTGCACTCAAAACAGTGTAACAACAGTTCTGCATCCATGGTGCCTGTTTTGCTTGTCTGATCTGAGGACTCTGTTCCACATATTGACAGCAGGCTGAACCTACGAATGCCACACATGCACACTATTGACCTTGTGGGATAGTCACTGTGTGGGACACAAATTTTGGACTCCGTTGACTTGAGGGATTAATGTGTAATTTATATCTTGTAGACACTAGCAAACCCAGGAGTGTGGAAAATAGCCTGATTATACTCAATGTTGATACTAAACTCCTTCCTAGTCTTCTTGGAGGACTGTGTTCTATAAATATGCATGAGGTCATATCTGCGTATCCCACGCCTTCACACCATGGCCTTTGTAGTGAAGTCGACTGAAATTTTTGGCTGCACAAGGACAACAGGCCTTAAGCTGTGACTAGATTCAGATGTGGATGCACACGTGGACAGCTGCAGACACCACGAACACCTAGTTATTGTTATGTGTCTGTGTTTTCTAGTCAGCTTGGAGTCCACTGGAGGATTGTAGTCCATTCATGTGCCGTTGATTGATGTCTACATATTCCTCAAATGCATAATACTGCTGACCACTGCCCTTGTAGTGCAGTCGCTGTGCAGACACAAGTTTTGGGGCAGTCTTGTGGAAATGTGGCGAAAATAAATATTTATCATGGACACTGAAGGTGTAACCCTGGTCATAAAAGCCTTGATCACACTCCTTTGTGGATGTGCACATTGAGATCCACAAATACATAGTTGTTGCTCTTTTTCTCGTCTGTTTGAGTCCACTTGGAGAATCCCTGTTCTGGGCATAGAGACGGCTGATCTTGCAGTATGATCTAAGCAGACACAAATTTTAAGCTAAATGGGCGACTGTTGGAAGGGACTCTGGCGAAAGTGACAAAATCTATGCCACATAAACTCTCTAAAACACGAAACGTATAATAGTGGAATAATGAGCCTATGGGAAGCTATGATTCCATGCATAGTTTCATAATTATACTACTTTTCTACTCCACTTAAAAAACTCCATTCCAGGCACCGCTATAGTTCACCTGGTTCCATGGCGGTGTTCCATGTACAGGGGCTATAGTGCTCGATGCAGCGGTCATGGGTTTGAGTCCCGCTCATGACCCTTTGCTGCAGGTCCTTCCCCCATTTTTCTCCCCCCCCACTTTCCTGTCTCTCTCTCTCTCTGTCTTATTTAATAAAGCCAAAAAAGGCTAAAAAATATTTAAAAACAAAAACAAAAAACAAACTCCATTCCACACATGCTCAGCACATCATGTCCATGTCTTCTGCCCATGCACACTGCTGCCCTTGTCAAGTACTGGCTGCGTAGACACTAAGTTTCCATGGAGGGTTCAACGGGGTCCACAGACTTTGTTGAGATGACAAAATTTACATCACACAGACCCTTGCATACTCATAAAGTATGATGATGCGTGTCCGCAGGATTTCCACACTTCAGATTCTTGTCTGTGCCAGTCGCATACAAGGCATTCTGGGTGCATGTTTACAGCTTACCTTGGATTTCATACATTTGCTTTTTATTTGTCTTGTGGCACTTGTTATAACATCAAATCCCTCATATGTGAACACCTACTTGAATATAAAAGGCATTCTGATTCTGGTCCAGAGTCTTCTCTTCCAATTTGTGGACTACCATAGTGATGAGTCCCTCCACATCTAATATATGATCAGCTGGGGTGACAGTAAAGAAATAAAATAAATGACAAAGAAGTACTGATTAGAAATGTATTTGTGATTTGTCACAAATGTGATCAAGGAGAAAATATAAAATTAAATTGAGAATGCAGTTCAGTTGTATGTGAGCATCATTTTTAGGAGGTGGGACTGATAACATGTAGCTGTAGTGACAGAACCGTTTGGTGCTATAACTTTAGCAAAGGCCCATTTTAATGTTTATGAATTTAGTTTTTAATTGAAGTGGAAAAACAGCTGATTTACCTTTGGGTTAATTTATCTTTAAGCAACTAAAACGTCCACAAATCAAGGTGCTACATAGGTTTTAAACGTCGTTATGAATGTGCTTAATCAAAATAGTGTTCATGTGCTCCACAGGTGCATTTCTTACCTGTTTTCTGCATGTTTTTTCTACGAAATAGAAATTATTTTAAATGGAGAACCCTTGTTTTCACATCCATAGCTAAAGAATATTGTTGTGTAGGTGACAGAGAGTGGATTACCTCTTTGTGTCCTCTGGACCTTTGCATTCCTCGACTCTACATGCAACTATAGCTTACAGGCCTAGCAGCCCAACACATGTGAAAAATGCCTCAGTCAGTGGTTTCCTTTGACAGTGAAATGCTTACAGGCAGGCCAGAGGGGCCGGCGGCGTTTCCAGGCGATGCGATGACCCGGTGGCTTTGGCGCAGGCCAACTGTGATGACGAGAGGCTTTCTATTGTGCTGGGAGCCTATGCATTTGGCCTTCGCCTGAGTATAAAAGCTTGGGTTGAGCGCTGACGGGACCAGCACGAGCCAGCCTCCCTCACACGGCACTGCAAGCTATACTAACGCAGGTAAGGACTCACAGACATACGCAGCAGAACATCCAGCACAGTGCAGAGGGACACATCCAGAGCCAGGGCCCAGTCCCTGCCAAAGCCCCCTCAGCCTGGGGAAAGGCAGCCCAAACAGAAGCCAATGAGCACATAAACCCCCAAAACATTCCAGCCCCTCTCTGACAGTGTTGACACCTCGCTGCCTGGGCCACGTTAAACCTCCAGTTCTCTTTCCCCTCTGTAATCCTGTCACTTCCATTTACACCTCTATTTCTGTTCATCCCATCTCTCTCGCCCAGACTCTCCTGAAGCCCCTCACCATGTCTCAGACTGCCAAGTCCGCCTCCAGCCAGGGCACCGATGCCAAGGACAAGGGAGCCCCAGCTCCAGCTGCCTCCAGCAAGGCCACCAAGACCGGAGAGCCTGGCATGGGATCCTACAGAGTGAGTCACTGCTGCAGTGTCAGACAGCTGCTTTCTGCACTGCCTAAGCATTTTGTTTTGTTTTGTCTGAAGGATCTGTTCACACAAATGTCAAAGAAAGCATAGTCTCCTTAATTTATTATTTTATTTATTTTATTTTACTTTTTGAAGTAGACGTTGCAAATTTAGATGAAGTTGTAGGAAAGGCAGCAATGTATTTTGGTACAAACCTGCTGAACTAGAGAAAACTGGCACAGGCAGACTTTTCACACATTCACCACTAACGCACTGAGGTTTTTATTAATAGTGCTTTGATTTGTAAAGTAAATTAATGAAGTGGATTTTACAACAGTAGCACTATCACACAATACTTGTGTTGTAAATAATAATAATAATAATAATAATAATAATAATAATATGACTACTATACAAGCATTATTTTAACGTTGTTGCAAGTTTAATAACTTCATATTGCATAGTGTAGCCAGTGATAATGCCTCATATTTGTAAGATGACAATGTATTTTATACGTTAAATCTCAATTTGCAAAGCAACAATAGCTTTAAAATAAATGTAGTGATGTAAATGCAATACAGTACCAGTGTAAAGTAGCATAAATGGAAATCTTAGACCACTTGAGGTGAATTTAACTATAGGTGCTCATGAAAAGACTCAAGTAAAACTTCCAAAATGCTTAATTGCAAGTAAAAATCCTGAAATAAAAAATCTACTTTAAGTAAAAGTAAATAAGTATTATCAGCAAAATGTACTTATTCTGCAATACTGATGCATGAGGTGGAGTTGCTTTTCATCAGTTTATGCAGATTGAGGTATTGTTTTTTGGTTTCCTCTCAAGAGACTTTATCCAGCTCTAAAGGAAACTCATCAGCACCAATGTGATAAATACTGACAGTATTTAAATATATACATAATTTCTAAACCATTTTTTAAATTTTGGTTTCAGTTACTCAAACATAGTACCTATTTGTTACTATTAAATGATCAGAAATAATAGCAAGATGCTGATATTTCTCATTGTTTTTTACTGTACATGGATTGATCATACATTCTATCTGAGCAGGAAAAAACCCTGACAGTGCTGTATTTCGTGAGCTTAACACATGTACAATATATCTACCTGTGATGTGTGCAGATCATGCTGTTCGACCAGGAGAACTTCCAGGGCAGGATGATCGAGGTCCAGAATGAGTGTATGAACGTGTGTGACCGTGGCATGGATAGAGTGCGTAGTATCATTGTGGAGTGCGGCCCGTAAGTGGACACGTACACAAACCCGATTTACAGTCAGAAAAATTCTGTTTTACCTCTATTCACTCATTTTTCAGTGTTCTTTACTGTGATCTTTCCTCTAATTCTTCTCTCCCTCACCTCACCCCTGTGCCTCCCCCTCTGTGCCTGCTGTCCCCCCAACTCCTCCAGCTTTGTTGCCTTTGAGCAGACTAACTTCCGTGGGGAGATGTTCATCCTGGAGAAGGGAGAGTATCCTCGCTGGGATACCTGGAGCAACTCCTACCGCAGCGACTGCCTCATGTCCCTCAGGCCCATCCGCATGGTACGCACAGCTGTTAAAATAACAAATATTCTTTTTTTAAAAATAGCTGAAATGCTGGTTGAATCAAAGCAGCTCAGACTGATAACTGTTTCAAAGCAATTTTTTTTCCTGAGACTAAGGGAAAATAGAGACACTGATCCAAGTTGACCATCTAAAACTCTTTAGATTATGATCCTACAATATAACTTATTGCACAAATTTACCTGACTAACTTTGTGGTTAAGATGCTACAATATTAGATAAAATGTGAATTTACCCGACTAATTTATATTTTAGGGCTAAAACTCTACAAAATAATTCCTAAGCTAGTATTATAGTAAACATTTTACACAATATCATTAGCATTTTAATTACTACGGATATCTCAGTGCAGCAGAGGATAGCAGAGGTTCAGGAAATCCAGTGTTGGAAATGTCTGCATTGACTTTAATAGCTGGACCCACAGATCAACACTGCCATCTGCAGAGTCACAGTGTCACTACATCACCAACCCATCAACAAGTTTTTAGTGTGGTTCACTCTCACCAACTGTCTTTATTTCCTCCCTGCAGGACAGCATGGAGCACAAGATCTGCCTGTACGAGCTCTCTGACTTCAAGGGCAACAAGATGGAGATCCAGGAGGATGATGTGCCCACCCTCTGGGCGCACGGCTTCTGCGACAGAGTGGGCAGCGTGAGGGTCCCTGGAGGAGCGTAAGTGCACACGTTTATTACCTGTAGCTGCTGAGGGTTCATAGAACCTGAGAAAAAAAACAGCCTGGAAATGAAACAAAGTGAAGGCTCTGTGCTGTAAACATTGTTTTAGATGAAGCCTGAGAGGAACCCGCAGGCCTCCACAGTTCCACTACAATGTAGTGGTTCAAAAAAAGAAGGATGACATGTCCTCATAAGGCTCCAGGCTGACTGCATGCTCTTGTGTTTATAAACAAGTATTTTTAGTCAGGAATTTTTCTTCACACTATTGTGTCTCCCAGTGAAATACACATTTGTTCATTTTTACCCTTACTGTAGCTCCAGTGTTCCTTATCTACGGTTCTACATGTGTGGAACTGTACTGGAGGCAGAATCAGCATTCTTTTAAAAGATATTCTTACGTTTAGATGATGAAGGTGGTGTTCAGCCACCCAGAGGACTCTTAAATCTTCTAATGGCTCCTTGACAGCTCTTTAGTGATCAGTAGAACCTCCCTGATGACAAACAAAACCTCTATAAAGACTGCTAGCCCTCCTTGGGAACATCTTTAGTGACAACCAACCCTCTAGTGACCATTAGAACCTAGTCACAAAGAACTTTTTAAAGGACCTTTTCAAACACTGAGAACTTCTGTATAACTGTCTTAATGACCAGTAACCCACCTAAAGGGCCCACAGAACCTGAAAAATGACATCAACTATCTCCTCAATGACCACTAGATCTCTTAATATATGTGTAGGACCTATAATGACCATGAGAACTTATGAGGGACTCTCTAGAACTTCCTCACTGTCCCCCAACATCACCTCAAAGAACTACAGGAATACAGTACAGTCACTACAAACCATGAGTTCTGCTACTGCAAACTATGACTTGTACCTGTGTGGAATCTGAATGTGTCCCCACTTTATGTCTCCCTCAGCTGGGTGGGTTACCAGTACCCTGGATACAGGGGCTACCAGTACCTGTTTGAGTGCGGTGACTACAGACACTACAACGACTTCTGCGCCTTCCAGCCCCAGATCCAGTCCATGCGCCGTATCAGGGACATGCAGTTCCACCAGAGAGGATGCTTCACCTTCACCTCCGCCAGCAAGTGATTGACACCTGCCGGTCGCCTGGTGCTGTTGTAGCTGCCATGCAGCTCCTCTCAGCTTTTTATCTCTCCAAATGAGCCCTTTCTCCAATCTCCAGTCCTTTCCTTAATCTCCACCATCATCGCTCCATCCCAGAGGAAAGACAGAATGAGAGCAAATACACTGGACAGCCTTAAGTGACTTTTTATGGTGCTAAAAAATAAACATGTGAAAAACCTGAACCCTCCCTGGCTGGATTACCTTTATTCATGCTGAGAAATGTATGGATCTGTTCATGCTATTTTCAAATTTTCTTTGGTCTGACAAAATTCTATTTTGAGGTATTTATTCAAGCAATTTTTAAAATAACTGCATGGCATATTTATGTGTTTGTTTGTTTTTTGTTTTTGTTTTTTTAAATAGTTAAATAGTGTATCCTGCGCACCCAAATCTCAACATAGCAATGTATATGTATGAAAGCAAAAAATGGAAACATGGCAATTAAATTAAGACATTATACTGATTATTACTACATATGAGGGTAGCGCAAGCAGCTCTTGACATAGAAGGGTAACAAAATGAAATCTCAGAAATTTCCAAAGTTTGTAAAATTTATGAAGTGGCAGTGACTTGTTATCACCTTTATTGAAACTGAGGTGCATTCTTATGCTATTTTTCTTTCTTTCTTTCTTTCTTTTTTAAAGCAATTTACAAAATAATTGCTCTGTGTAGGTAAAGGGTGTATTTAGTTCTCTCAAATCTCAAAATGTTGCAGCATGTGTACAGTACATGTTAACAACCAAAGGAGAAAACATGGCCATTAAATACAACCATGACTTGATTTAACACGTGCATGCTGGCCAGAGGTCATTAGGCTTCAC